TATTTCCTGACGAATTGTTTTTTCGCTGTCTGAGTCGTAACGCGAACTTCTGCAGCTTTTGCTTTGTTATAAAAAGTGATTTTCAAAATTCCAATAGAATATTTATTTGCCCTAAGGAAAATCTATAATCTGGCCAAACACAAATAGGTTAACGTATCTTTGCCGTAGGGCTAAGTAGGGAACATCCAATATTGTGGCTTCATTTTAAGAAGTAAGAAATACTATTTTTCGTCCAGAACATGGTTCTCCAACCATTATTGGAGCAATTGATGATCAGTATCTTTTCTTAACTGCTTGTTGAATAAAATTTGGCAATAGGTACTATTCAGTTAGGTACTATTTCTTTTCAGGATCAATTGATTTTTCAACAGGATATAGGGAATTAAGCCAAACGGTAGGCATGCTTCTCTTGGGTTGTCTTTATGGACGTAAGCCCTTAGTATGTATTCCGTTTACCCTAAAGTACCTTGCTTCTCAAAGAAATTCCACTTCTGAACAATGACCGTGGATGCAATGTGAATGAAGTTTGAAGATGTTTACTGGCGAGTCCGATGTAATCTGGTGTGTTAAACTTGATACGTTCTAGTATGGGGTAGAAAGGCGTACTTCAACATAACGAAATATCTTAGTACATAACGAGGTAAGGGGTTAAATGTAACTGCTAGAGCACCATAGATGGACGATCAAACATGTGTATCACACGAAAAATCAATATAAAGGTTTGAGAAGGTATACAGATTTGACGCTGAGACCTCTTATTGTATATTACTCTGGAGCCAATCACGATTCCTTTCTTCTAAATCCTGGTAACGTCAAACATAATACAGCCAGTATAGTGGAAACCTCTCTTGAAGCTAAAACATTATAACGTATGAAGAGGCCAAGACGGTCTTCTGATCGAAATCCGATCCTGCATGTTTGTAACACAATTGTACGAAACATTATAGCAGAATCAATGTCTTTGTATACTGTCTTGGGCAGATTCTGTTTTTTCAATTCTTGTGCAGTTGTCTCAAAAATCGTATCAATGATCACATCTCACCTAAGGAAATCGAAAATGAGCAGACGTTGTTGACGGCATACCTTATTAAATGAATCGTATTATTTTCAAAGATCATTTTTTTTCATTTACTTGCAGAAACTTGATTTTTAAGGAATTTAAGAATTGCCACTTATTTTTCCGTCTCTTTATCTATGTTACTCAATAATACGTGTGCATTTTACATTAAATGTCCATAATCGTTTACCTCCCATAATTTTCTTAATTTTTCTTGCTACTTTGTTTCATCAGTTAATTTAAAATATCGGTTGCTCAGTATTTCTTAAAAAAGAGCGAAACAATATATTGACAATTTTGCATAAGTTATAATCGCAGTAGAATAAGACAAAAATACTTATGTTGCATCTTGAAAATATCTATGCAATTCTTTACATATTAATCCTGTGAAAGTTATATATATATATATTTAACTTTTTTATTTATTTAACACACATATATATATATATATATATTTAATTTTTTTATTTAATTAACACACACACACCACACACACATATATATATATATATATATATATATATATTAAAAAAAATATATATATTCATCTAATAATGTCCTTTAGCTTCAAATAAATAATCTAAAATATAACATACATCAATATTTTCAGCTATATTTTGAAAATAAAAGAAGTAAATCAAAATCATTTGCAAAACTCTGTTTAAATTGATAGCATGTGTGTGTTTTTCTGTGAGATAAACCATATGCTCTTCAACTTCATAAATAAAACATATAACTATTGAACTTGCTAGATAGATAGAAAAATGGTAGACATATTTCAAGGAGAAATTCTCTCTTATAGAGAACAAGTGAATGAAAGGGAAATTTATCTCTTTTTATTTTTCCAGTATTACTTCCGTAAAAATAACATAAAAAGTGGAGTAAGGTTTATTTTTGACATATAGTGAAAATATATCCTGATTTTTATATTTATTCAAGCTAAAGGCATCAAAACGTATGTTTTTTAAAACATATAAATACGGAAGTCCATTATATAGAATTTACAAAAGAATGTTGCTTCCAAATTTCGATTTTATACCTTGATATACATTTTCCCAGTAATATTTCGATATCCTTCCAGAAAAATGAGATATACGGAAATACTTATTTTTCTTGTTTAAGTTTGGGAAAAATCATTTTGTGAAGATATGATGTTTCTCTGAAAGCTATTCCTAGCAAGAATGTATATTTGTTTAGTTTTATTTAACTTATATATTTGCATCATAAAGACCAATTGTTGCAAAAATGTTATTTTGTTTTTAAAACAGTTGAGACATAAATTGCTTCTATTTTATCACTACTTTTTAATTTAATTCTGTGTTTAAAATATTTTAATTTAATTTTGTTTAACAATATGCATAATGATTCTCAAAAAAAAAAAAAAATTAAAAAATAAATTTCAAAGTCACGACATATTTCCTGAAAAAAATTAGATATTTTTAGAATTCCAATATGTTACTAAAAAGTATAAGTGGCTTTAAGTATCAATTGCAATAAAAAGGAAATTTCATTGCTTTATGTAAATACAATTCAGCTGAACAGGCTAGTTAGAACCATTATTATATAAATGGAGTTATACTATTCAATTTCCTTCTACACACATGCAGGCTTTATATCTTTTTGAAAACGATCCTTGATGATCTTGAATACGTAGATAAATTTATTTCTTCCACAGCTTCAGCAATTTCTTTGGCGTAACTCGTTTATATTTTTGATTGACTTTAAAGATGAAGGTAAACACTTTAAACATTTAATTCATTGAAGTGTGTTATTTAAGGTTTTCTGTTCTATTTTGAAATCCATCGCCTTATTTTTAATTATACACTTAAGATTAAGTTTTTTTTTAAATCAAGTAACTTTGTTAAAAAATGATTGTTATTCATAATAAAGTAGCAAGTGTTGTACTATTTAGGAATCTCAACAAAATTGTTCTCTTTTGCAACAGATTTTCTTGCAAAACTCGTAATTATTTTCTTATGGAAAGTCAGATCCCATTTTTTTCTCAAATCAAGTCAGTCTATGTTAATTTTATGTATACCAACAAAGAATTTAGCTTTACTTGTGAATAATATTTATATAACATGAGTGTGTACGATCACATTTCTAAAAAAATTTACTGTAAAATTGTGGACATATAGTCGTGTAGAGGATATATACATAATCTACTTACAACCTCCGGATAGAATTGATAACTGTTTACTAGTGTTACGTATATGCTTACGAATTCATAGGTACCGAGTTCTATCCTCCACTGTGGTCTCAGTATCTAATGATGGGAAGGAGGTTGTCAAAAGAGGTGTTTTTAAAATGAAAGATGTTTTACGAATAAAAATAAAAAAAACAAAAAGCTATGATTGCTATGGATATAAAATAATAAGTATTGCATCATTTTGAAATCTTATGAAAATGGTCTATCCTCTGCAAAAAATCTCTAGAGTAGTTTGCAGTATTTTTCTTTTTATGGACAGTCAAATTTAGGTGACATCTTCTTTTCAAACTCTGACTCAGAAAATCTACGGAATTTTTTTTCTAATTCAGTAAAGTATTTTGATGCATTTGTAATTATTAGCACAGCTATGCAAGTGTTTTAATGTTAGTGAAAAAAATGCCCTTAAAATTTTAAAACTTGTGATCACAGTACTTAATTATGTGGAGGAGTTTTGCATTTTTTCCATATTTTTAAAAATGTGCAAGTTATCACCAAACCAAAATATGTTAATTGTTTTTATTTTTTTTTCCAAAATTTATATATCATCCGCTTTACGCCCGTGCCCACTTGAAATCTCTGAGAATCTGAAGAGTGACATTAGTGGTAATGAAGTATCTGATACCCCTTGGCAAATAATAGCACTTTAATTACTTTGACGTACGTGACATTAATTTATAGTGATCTCTTCAAGAGTTGAACCTACCATCCTGAGTTCTTGTCGTGTTTCTTCACTACATTACCAACATGGAGCCAAACAAATGTTGGCTTTAACTTTATAGTGATGGACTCAAGAGTTAAAACTATTATCAAACCTTCTTGTCTTTCTTCTCCAGTACATTACTGATATATAGCCAAATAACTGCTGGCTGCAAATTTATAGTGATCTACTCAAGAGTTGAATCTACTAGCAAGCCTTCTTGTCGTTTTTCTACAATACACATTACTGATATAAAGCCAAACAACTGTGTAAAGTAGTGTTTCTTAAACTGTGGGGCACGCACCCCTAGAGGGGCATGATAACTCTACGAGGGGCCACGAGCATATTAAAAAGTCGAAAACAAGAGATTATATAAAAAAAGTTATTAATTTACTAAGAGTAAAAAAAAGTCACCATGAGTGTACTTATGTACGCACGTAAGAAGTTATACTTCTTTGGCGTAATAAGATTAAAATCTTTCTAAAAATCTTTAGCAGGGCAAGCTGGACCAAGGGTGAAAGGCGGTCACGAGCAGAGTTGAACGATACTAACCTTCAGTCAATCGGACCAGTCAAACCTGAGATAATCACGATTTAAATAAATTTAAACACACCCGCACAGGGACAATAGGACCAATAATATGGAGAGGGGGTCGAAGGCGGGAATGATCTGCCACGTTCTGCATATTTCTAGACAAAGCATTTTTCGTATCCGTTCCTACGGAACACAAAGCTAAGGGTTTGTTGACGTAGGGGTATAGCTCAGTGGTAGAGCATTCGACTGAAGATCGAGAGGTCCTCAGTTCAAACCCGGATGCTCCCTTCTTCAGGGAAGTGAAGAGAAAT